AAAAGGGGAAGGCCCGCCTACTGCAAAAAAAAAAAAAAAAAAAAAAAAAAAGACACATGCACGCCAACGTTCATTGCCCTATTGAAAACGGCCAAGACACGAAAGCAACCAAAATGTCCATCAACATATGAACGGATAAAGCAGATGTGGTTGATATACACAATGGAGTATCCATCAGAAATTAAAAAAAAAAAAAAAGCATGAAATAATGCCATCTGCAGCAACATGGATGGGCCTAGAAGTGATCATTCTAAGTGCACTCAGTCAGACAGAGAACGACAAATATCACAGGATATCGCTTACATGTGGAATTTAAAAACCGACACAAATGGACTACTTCACAAGCCTGAAACAGACTCGCAGACTCTTCAAGAAGAAATTTATGGTTCCCAAAGGGGAAGGGTGAGCAGGAGGGATAAATTAGGAGGCTGGCATTAACATACACACACTCATACATATAGAAACTATATCATCAACAAGGACCCACTCTACAGCACAGGGAAGTCTACTCAGCACTCTGCAATAACCTAAATGGGGAAACAATTCGAAAAAGAATTGATATATTGATATGTATAAGTGAGTCAAGTTGCTCTACACCTAAAGTAAACACAACATTGTAAATCAGCTCTACTCCAATATAACCTAAAAGTTAAATCAGAAACAAACAAACAAACAGAAAAGAAGAAGGAGGAGGAAAGAAATGCCTACTATATTCCCCTCAGGCCTGGTAGCCTGAGCTAATGTCACATCCCTGGAGCCTGCACAGGCTTGGGTCCCAAGGATGGAGGGTGCTGGGGCTGAGGGAGCTGGGGAGGATGTGCCAGCATATGAGCAAGTGGGAATTCCCTTGCTTTCCAGTGCCTGGTCCCCTCTGCATGGGACCACCATCACCAGATCCAGGCGGGCCCTCCTGCAGCTTAACCAAGCCTAGTGCACCCAAAGGATGGTGGACCCGCTGGCCTCAAAGAGCTTTGACAAGTCACCTAGTCTCCAAGTCTCCTAGCAGTAAGGTCCCCACCTCCAGCCTCCTTCCTTAGAGCCGCCCCATGTACGGATGATGCACCCTCAGCGAGCAGTTTTGCAGGAGTTGACATCTGCCTGGGTAGGTGAAGCGTAAGGGGGAATCTAATAATTGGTACAAATGAACTACTTGACAAGCTCAAAACAGACTACAGATTTAAAAAAGAAACTTATGGTTACCAAAGCGGAAAGGTGGGCAGGTGGGATATATTAGGAGGTTTGGATTAACATATACACATTGATATACATATAAAATAGATCATTAACAAGGACCCACTGTATATCACAGGGAACTCTACTCAATATTCTGTAATAACCTATATGGAAAAGAATCTGAAAAAGAATCAGTATATGGATACGTATAACTAAATCACTTAGCTGTACCCCTGAAAGTAACACAGCATTGTAAATTAACTGTACTCCAAAATAAAATAAGAATCAAATTTTTAAAAATGTTTAACTTATTAATAATCATGAAAAGCAAAAATATTTTTTTTCTATTTGTTTTGTTGATTAGTTGACAAGATAACACTTGCACTGAGTTTATCATTTTTGTAAAACTGGGAGAAACTGGTAAATGGTTATCACACATAACCAGTAAAGTACTTTGAAAAATCATTCCACATATCCCCAGGGATAAAAGCATCCTAGTATGTAAGACACTGAAGCACAGTGTTGCGTACTCCATTTAAATAGATGAAAAACAGACCAATCAGAAACAGTGGGATTAAGGATCCCAAACACTCCATGACGCTGGGCAGAGAGAACACACATTTTCATTTCAATCAAATAAAAACAAAGGGCATTCCTTGTTTAACTCACCTGTAGAACCTGCTCTCCTGTTCCTCCTGCTTAGGGGTCCCTGGGGCTGGGTGAAACGCGACTCTTGCCCTTGCTCAAGATGAGAGATCAGAGCTAGTTTGGAAGCGGACGATGCTGCCTGAAGGGAAGAAGAAACAACACAATGAAGCGCAGACTCACACGGGTCAGTCTCGGCGAGGAGTAACCCCGGGGGAACTGAGCAAGAGGTACCCTAAAGAGGTACAGGAAGGGTCTGGGAGGAGATCTTGGACGGTGCTTCCAAGGAAGCCTGAGACACTCTGGGAGGCGAATTTCTATTTAAAGGAAAACAAAATGTTTCACCTTCCTTGCTAAAGAATGGAAAATTCTCTAACTGTGGAAAACAGATGTATGGCTCCTAGGAGCAACTCCCACATGGAGACAAAGGGGCTGAGTTCTCTCAAGATAATCTGGAGGTTCAATACTAGGGTGAGGGTACCAAGAGATTGCTCGAGCCCTGGTGTACCCAGAGAATCAATCACCTCTAAGGCAGGTACAGAGGGAGGACAGCTTTTATGATGGAAAAAGAAGGAAAACCCTCTTGCAAGTCAAATAGACTCCAGGACTCTGTGTACCTGGAAACTCTTAACATTGCCATTTGGGGGCAGCAGCAGAGAGGCCTTACATAGGAAGGCCTTACGTAGAGTTCTCCAGCATCACGCTCTGGTACAAGGCCCTCTAAGCAGTATCAAGCTGGCCCATTCCTTTTCAGTGAAGTACACAGCCATATCCTCAAAAGCCACTGATTCCTGAAACGACAAGTTCCTCCTATCCCAGGCCTCAGGACTTTGGTGATGGTCAAAACTGTCAATGAGAGGCTGAGAACAGCATCTACAAGGACGTATATTTAGTACTGGGTCCCTCATGTGCTTGAGAGGTTTCTGTATAAAAGTTGGAAGGTGTAGAGAAAGAGGACAAAAATTAAAGGCAGACACAGCCAGCCAGAGTTCCACATACTTTCCCAGTTAGAACAAAATGCATCTTCACTATGAGCTTCCAAATATATGCAACCTCCAAATACACTATAATATAGAAGCTAGACTTGGGCCTGAGCATGAATGTATATATATTAAAAAAAACTAACGTATAATGGGATATGGCTGCTACCTTAGCTCTGAGCCCCTTCCCACTTTGTATAATATATTTGGGTGATTATTTGGGCTGCTCACATTCCTGTCATTTCTCAATTGTGCTTTCATCCAAGTTCTTCCCCCTTCTTGTCTCCTTTCTCACGACCCCAGGCACAATGCTCTCACATTGGTCCATGGCTCCCCACCCCCATGTAGAGGTAGTGAGGTTAGAGAAGCATAGGAAAGTACCGCTTACTTGAGATGGGCTAGAGAAAAGTCTGTTTATCAAAGGACAACATTAAGAGAGTGAAAAAGTGGGAATTCCCTTGCTTTCCACTGGTTAGGACTCTGCGCTTCCACTGCAGGGGGCCCGGGTTCCATCCCTGATTCGGGAACTAAGATCCTGCAAGCCTTGAGGCACGGCCAAAAAAATAAATTAATAAGAGAGTGAAAAAGCAAGCCACAGACTGGGAAAAGGAATTTCATAATACACACATCTGACATAGGACTCATATCCATAATTACTACAACTTGGAGGAAAAAAATGACACACAATGTAAGAAACAATGGGAACGTATCTCAACAGTGACTTCACATAAGTGGACATCCACGTATGCAATAAACATATGAAATGGTGCTCTGTATCACTCTTTAATGGAGAAAAGGCAATTAAAAAACCCCAATATGATATAAAGAATGAATGAGAGGGCTTCCCTGGTGGCGTAATGGTTGAGAGTCCGCCTGCCGATGCAGGGGACGCGGGTTCGTGCCCCGGTCCGGGAGGATCCCACATGCTGCGGAGCGGCTGAGCCCGTGGGCCATGGCCACTGGGCCTGCGCGTCCGGAGCCTGTGCTCCGCAACAGGAGAGACCACAACAGTGAGAGGCCCGCGAACCCCAAAAAAAAAAAAAAAAAAAAACGGAAAGAATGAATGAGAAGTATTCGCAAGGATGTGGAGCAAATGGAACTCTCTTGTACTGCTGGTAAAAGTATAAATTGGAACAACCATTTCAGAAGATTGTTGGGCAGCATCTACTAAAACTAACCAAATGTATAGCCTATGACCTAGCAATTTGACTCCTAAAGATACACCCCAGAGAAATGAGTGCATGTGTTCATCAAAAGGCATAAGCAAGAATGTTCACTGCCTTCTTATTCATAGTAGTCGAAAACTGGAAACAATCAAAATGTCCATCCACAGTAGAATGAATAAATAAAATGTGATATAATCATATAATGGAAAACTATTCAGCAATGAAAAAGTACAAACTACTGCTATGTGCAACAACACGGGTGAAGTTCACAGACATAAGACTGAGCAAAAGAAAGCAGATACAAAAAAGTAAATTTTGAATGATTCCATTTACATGAAATTTAAGAACAAATAAAACTAATATATTGTCATAGCAGTCAAAATAATGGTCATCTTTTTTTGTTTTGTTTTGTTTTGGCCATGTGGCTTGTGGGATCTTAGTTCCCTGACCAGGGATTGAACCCAGGCCCTTGGCAGTGAGGGCATGCAGTCCTAACCACTGGACCGCCAGGGAAGTCCCATAAAGGTCAACTTTGGGGTGGACTGCTTGGGATGGTGCATGAGGGAGTCTGCTGAGGTACTGATAATGCTCTATGTCTCAATATGAATGATGGTCTTACAGGTGTGTATATTTCTAAAAAGTGAGCTATACAGTGAGTTATATTTATTATAAGTTATACCTCAATGAGAAAGCAAATTTACATATTTATATATATAAAAGTACGTTACATATATTTTATATATGCATATGTAACATATATAAACTTATATTTATATACACTTGTATACTTTAATATGTGCATATATAAATATTTCTGTACATATGCACATGCATACATGCAGCGGCAGAGGGAACCCAGCTCACCTGGGGCCTGGTTGTTAAGGACACTGTTGTCGTCATCTGACCTCTTTTATTCCTGTCTCAGGGAAAGGTAACACTCTCAGGAACTGAAAGTAAAGAAAGAAGCATTAGTGACAACAATTCTACTGACCCTAATTCTTGCATGTAGCATCTGACCCATTTTTTGGGGGGCTACATGAACTATCAATACTATTCATTAGTTATTGCCTTGTATCGGTGGCAATTCTCAAGTCATAGAGGTGAGACAGCAGGCATAAGAGGGAACACAGAAATCGTGTGGAGAATATAATTAGCATACAATTTCCCAGGTACATATTCAGCTGACTGGTTCAGCGAACAGATGCGAAGGTGGACTTACAAAACTAATTTTCAGTACTCCAAAGAAGACATCTTAGGAAAGAGGACAGAAAAGGAAACTAGGGCATACAGTGGTACAGTGGAGAGAATGTTATGAGCTGAAAAGAAAACTGGAGTTCCAATTAAGATCCCTAGAGTCAGGACTTCCGTGGTGGTCCAGTGGTTAAGACTCTATGCTTCCACTGCATGAGGGTGTGAGTTTGATCCCTGGTCTGGGAATGAAGATCCTGCCTGCCACACGATGCAGCCAAAAAAAAAAAAAAAGATCCCAAGAATCCACACAGTCAGACAGTAGTAAAAGTCAAAATGGAATTTGAAAATAGTTTATTAGGAACATCTTTTTTTTTTTAAAGATTTGATGTGGGACCTCTTTTTTTTTTGGCTGTGTTGGGTCTTCGTTGCTGTGTGCAGGCTTTTCTCTAGTTGCGGTGAGCGGGGGCTACTCTTCGATGCGGTATGCAGGCTTCTCATTGCAGTGGCTTCTCTTGTTGCAGAGCAAGGGCTCCAGGCGCACGGACTTCAGTAGTTGTGGCTTGAAGGCTCTAGAGTGCCGACTCAGTAGTTGCGGTCCACAGGGCTTAGTTGCTCCCCAGCATGGGGAATCTTCCCGAACCAGGGCTCGAACCTGTGTCCCCCGCATTGGCAGGCAGATTCTTAACCACTGCTCCACCAGGGAAGCCCTGATATGGGACCATTTTTCAAATCAAAAAAAAAAGTTTTTTTTGAATTTGTTACAATATTGCTTTTGTTTTATGTTTTGGTTTTTTGGCCACAGGCATATGGGATCTTAGCTCCCTGACCAGGGACCAAACCTTCACTCCCTGCACTGGAAGGCGAAGTCTTAACCACTGGACTGCCAGGGAAATCCCATATTAGGAACACTTGATGTCTCTCTACTACTATTTTTTTCCTCTAAATACAGATTGATTATAAGATGATCATTCAATTTTATAAGAGTGTTGGGGATAGGTGGTGAGAAGAAAAACACTACCATATTAAATGATCCATCAACTTCATGACGTCTCAAATACTCCAAGTTCTAAATATTGTTGCATCAGGGAAGCCAAGCAATTTTATCTGTAAACTAATAGTTCTAACTCCCTTTCTAGGTCAGTTAACCAGTTCATCATTAGGAAATAAGCCTTCTGCCATTCTACAGAATGAATCAGCAAGGTTTACACATTAAAGGCAACACCTGAAATACAAATAGCCGCCATCAGTTAGACTGGAAATCGTTAATAAGCATAAAAGTGCATGCACTCGTAGACTTAAAAACAACTTCCATTTCAACTCCTTATCTGCAGTTTGCTATTAAGTCTCAGGGCCCATCAAGACAAAAGACTTTATACAGTCAGCACATAGCCCTTTCCTCCACTGACGCTACTTAGTGAGTCCAGAAAGCTATCCAGGAAGGTAGAGGAAGCTGAGGCTGTCAGGG